CTGGAGACACTTTCCAACCCTTTCCTTCTTCCTTCCAGACTTCTACAGCTCCAAGAGGAGGATCGTCCCTGCCCGGCCCCAGCCGTGACTCGCTGGGGCAGCCGCTGCCGCCGGGGCGAGCGTGGCTCCCCCGCCCTGTGCTGTGCTCACCTGTAGCAATGTAGAGTCTGTAGTTCCTATTTATGAATAACTCTGGGGTCCTGAGGGACCTTCACTGTGTGCAATGTAGAGGAGGAGCCCCATGGTGGGGCTGGAGGAGGACTGAGGTGGACCTGGTGGGACTGAAGCACTGCCCTGCCTGCAGAAAAGCGTCCTCTGCCCTGTGCCTGTGGGTCCAAACACCGTCCTTGTGCCATCCTGCTGTCCAGCCTGGGGGCTGGCACTGGGGGACACTTGTGTCCCAGCCACCTGGTGGCACCAGACAGCTTTAAGAAAAGTCACTGGTGTGGATTGTAGAGCCCTGGGACACCCCTGCTGCTGGCACATGGGGGTGGCCCCCTGTCCCAGCAGGATGGACCCGGGCACTTGGCCGTGCGTGGGAGCAGAGCGATGTGGAGGCTGCTCCTTCCCCCGGCTCTGGGCAGAGGAAGCCGTTCCTGGACAAACCTTCCTGGGGTGACTCCCCGCACCCAGCCGGGGACCAACACTGCCCCCGGGAGGCTCTGGGATCCCCTGCACTCTGCTGGCCCCAAATCCCACTTTCTTTCCTTGTTGTTGGCTTGTTGAGTGGTGCTGCTTGCCCCCATGTCCCTGCCTCCCTTAACACTGACTCCAGGCTGGGGAGCCCCTGCTCTGCCTCTGCTCCTCTAGGAAGAACTGCTCAGCAGCAGGGATGCTGCTGAAATAAGGAATTGTAGCTTGTTTTCCTGGATTTTTCTCCTTTGGGGCTGGCAGGGAGAGGATCCTTTCCTGGCTCTGCTCTGGGACCAAGGGATGGCCTGGAGCAGAGGCTGCTCAGTTCCAGCACTGAAGGATGAGTCCCTGAGGGACTCAGCACTTTCATGGAGTTCATCTCCTGCTCTGCTGGATTTGGACTCTGGAAACTGGTGCAAGATGGTCCCAGGAAGAAAAGGGACAGGGTTGATCTCCCACCTTGCACCACAATGCACTTTGCTGTCGGTGAAGCTGCCAAGCTCCCAGCATTAAAAAATTATTTATATTTAAAATAATGCTATTAAGTGTATGTGGGGAGAGGGGAAATAGCTGTTTGTCTGTAAGTGTTAACTCTAAATAAACATCTGTGCGAAGGCATTCTGGGTTAATGTGGGTGACTGGGGGAGCAGGGCCTGGCTGGGGGAGGAGGGTGTTCCAGGGACTGGGGATCCCTCTGGGGGTGCAGCCCTGAGCTGGGATCTGCCTTTGTGAGGGCTAAGAGGGATAAAGCCCTGCCACACGCTCTGTGCTTGACCCCATTCCCTGGGGACAGTGGTCTGGTGCTGCCACCCTGTCCCCAGCAGGAGCCAGTGCCACCTGTGTGGGATGTCCCTGGAGGGCCCCTGTGGTTCCTCTGTTGCCCCCATCATTCTCCCTTCCCCACTGTGACCCTGTTCCCCCTAACCCTCAGGACCCAATCCCATGGTGCAAGTGGCCATTAGTCCCCTCCCTGACCCCTCTAAAGGGGTGCTGGCTGCCCAGGCCACAGGGTGACCCACACTGTGGGATGGGGACACAAGAGCGTGCGGTGGCACAGCTGGTGGAAATGTGCAGTGGCATTTCCTGGGTGGCACTGAGATCCCAGGGGAGTCAGGGATGTCTCTGCCACTGGCTGCTTCCTTGGAGGACTGAGCAAGGCTTGGATGCAGACTCAGGTTCTGGTTAATGTGAGAAATCACCTGATTTGCAGAGGATCCAGATGAAAAGAAAGCTGATGGCAATGAACAGCCTCGTGTCATTGTTCAGCTGAGGATCCCTAAAGCCTCTGCCTGTCCCTGAGTGAGGGGTGACATCTGTGCAGCCCCATGGCCCTTGACACACACTCAGCCCTTGAGCTGCTGCTGAGTCAAACCCTACAGATTTAGCCCCTGTAATCTCTCCCCTTATGTCAGTCCTTCCAAAACCCCCTGGCTGCTGCCAGGAGCTCCCCTCTGCTGTCACCTCCCATTTGCCAGGAGCAGCAGCAATGAAGGAAATGAGGAATAAATCAGTGAAACCCCCTTGTCTGTGCTTGTGGCTCTGAGAAGAGCCAGGTTCTGCCTTTGCTGGGCACCAGGACACTCCAGGACTGTGTCCCCCCAGCTCTGGGACACAAAACAGTGATGGGCTCCCAGCAGCTCCCATTTCAGCCCAGGCTGTGTTTTGCTGCTCCCACCCCAGCCTGGCCTCAGCACAGAGCAGGGATGCTGAGGGTCAAACCCCCACAGGGGGAGGGTCGGGTTCTTCCCTTCCCTTGCCCACATTCAACCTCCTTTCACTGGCACCTTCCAGCACCTCCTCGGGGTTGGATCGTGCCCTCCCTCCTGGGCTGTGCCCTCTGGAAGCACAATGCCAGAGTCTTGCACAATATGTTTTCCCTTCAAAAGGGAAAATTTTCTCCTCAAATCCTTGGGGAAAGCCAAAATCCAGCCTACTCTGTGCACCAACAAACACTGCAGAGGGTTGGAGGGTGAGGGGACACGCTGAGCCCCCCAGCCTGACCGAGGGGATGCTTCAGTGTGGGGTGAGCAGCACCAGCTTTGCCTGGAGTGTGGAGAAGAACCAGCTGAGCTTTTTGTTGGCCGTGATGGAGCAGATGGAGCTGAGCTGGCTGCTGCTCCTTAGGTTAAACAGCAAACAAGCAAGGCATGGCTGGTTCCCACTGAGGGATTTCACCTGTTTCGATGGGCAGAGAGAGCTGGGGCATCAGCTTCCACCCCCCAGCTCCTGCCCTGGAGCCTGGGCTCACATCTGCTGTGGGCCAGGGGATGTTTGAGCAATGCCCTAGAAGTAAGAACATTTCCTCCTGCCTGAGTTCTCTTCACGTTTTGCAATTAAAGAGCAGGAAAAATGCCTGTGATCCACCTGATCCCCCTGTCCCTCATGAAGCAGCAGCCAGTGGGTTTGGTGCTGGGTTTAAAGCCAAGTTTATAGTTCAGCCAGGAGCCTCAAAAAACCATCAGAGAACAGCAGAGGGGGGATTACTTCAAATTCTAGGGCCAAAGAGCTTCCACAGGGGCGATTTTCAGGTTGTTCGTCCTCTGGTAGGATGTTATAATCCATGGGCTATAGATAATCTTGTATTTTGGGTTATTTGGAGCCTTAAAAAAACATTTGCTGTTTGTCTGCTGTTCTTCCCCCCACTCCAAACGCCCCCCAGCCCCAGAGCATTGCAAGCCAGGAAGGGACAGGGACTTTGCTGCCCTTCCTGATGGCACTGGCAGTGCCTTGGCAGAGCTGCCTGGGGATCTGGGGACTCTGGGGACGCCGTGACCCTCTGGATGGGTCCTTCCTGCGCCCCACTTGCAACGCAGCAAACAGGAAATGTGTGAGCAGAGGCAGTTGCTGTCACCCCAGAACGGAAAGAGCCTTGAGAAAGAGAGATGAGAGCGGGGGCGGCCGCGGGGCAGGAGAGGTGTCCCTGCGACCTGGGGAGCCCCTGGGCCTCGTGTGCCCCACACTGAGCGTCCCTCGTGGGGAGGGTAAGTCCTGCTGCTCCGGGGATGGCTCAAGCACCACCTTAAGAAAGAGAAAAGTGAGGGAATGAAGGGTTTTTATTTTGCTGGTGGTGATCCAAGGGGGCTTTTTCCTGCTGCCTGTGAGGGACTGTGGCTGGGGGCTCCTTTCTGAGGGCACGGGGTGTTGTGGAGAGAGGCAGGAGCTGGTGATGCCATGGGGGGCCCTGCTTGGCTGGGGGGGAGGGGCACAATTCCCTTCCCATCCCATCCCATCCCATCCCATCCCATCCCATCCCATCCCATCCCATCCCATCCCATCCCATCCCCCTGCTCATTCAGCACCTCCATCACGCTGTGGGCTCAGCTCACCTGCCCTGGAGCTGGAACAGGAACCAGGGGCTTCTCCATGCCTTGAACAACCCCCCTGCCCCCCAGAGCTCTCACTTCTGCTGCCTTCGAGGCTGGGACCACCACAAGGGTGTTTCTGGTCCTGTGGGACTCCAGCAACTCCACAAGACCCTCTTGCTGTAAGGGGTTGGGGCTGGTTTTGGGCCCTGTTCCCATTTCTGATGTACGCTGGGGTTTAGCAGGATCTGGCAAAGGAAGGGGCTGAGGGCTGAGGAGCTGCTGTCCCCCCGGGCTGGGAGTGGGAGCTGGGCTCAGCCAGACCGAGCACGGCCCCGGCTCTGCGTCACCGCTCCCCACAGCTCTGCTTTCCTCCCCTCGGAGTTTCAGCTTTGCCACACGAAGAACAGCCCCTCCTGGGGATGGCAACGGTGGCCATGGGTGACACGGCCACCCATCCAGGCTGGGGACAGGGCACTGGGGGTCCCAGCTCAGGCCCCACAAGCCTGGGCGAGCAGCAGCATGACAGAAACCTCCCGAGGCCTCGTGCCCTCTGCCCGGAGGTGACTCACAGCTGTGAAAACTGGGGGAGGAATTTTAAAAAGTGCTGCTGAGCTCTGAGAAGGCAGGTGGAACCAGCACGTCTTGCTCAGACCTCCAGCGTCACCTTGGCTGCTCCTTTGCTGGTGTCACCTCCTGGGTGGCCCTCGCTGGTGCTGGTGTCCTGTGCATCCTCCACAGCCAGGGAAGAGCACGGGGAGATTTGGGGTGGGTGCTTGGCTGGTGGAGTGTTCAGCAGGTGGGAGCTGGGCTGGGAGCCCCTGGGATGGCTGGCAGGAGCAGCAGTTGCTGCTGCAGTCCCAGGCTCCATTGGCACCGTGCAATCCAAAATAAGGGCTTCCCTTCCCTTCCTGTTGCCAAACCCTCCTCAGCAATCAAGGTTTGGGCCCTTGAGAGCAGCAAAATGAATTTCCAGCTGGCTCCCTTTCTGCTGTCTCCTACCAGGCTGGAGCAAAGGCGCCCAGCGAGGGCAGGGCTGGCCGAGGGTCCGGGCCGGGCTGGGCCATGTCCGAGCGCCGGGCGGGCGCCAAGGGCCGGCGCTTGGGCTCCAGCCGGCGCAAGCAGCTGCAGGAGGGCCCCGCTGAGGAGCCCCCGTGGGCATCTGAAATCGTGCACAGGGTGCAGCACCTGCTCGGCGCCGGGGACGCAGAGCAGGCGGCCGTCGTCACCCGCTCGGACATGCAGGTGAGGATGGGGCTGTCCCCCGGGCTCCAGCGCTGCTGGGTCGCTGCAGATGGAGCGATGGGAGGGTTTTACCCTGATTTGCTTTGCTTTTAGAAGCTGCAGGAGGAAGGTTTGCCGTGCAGCAGGGAGGAGCTGGAGCTTGTGTTCGATGGGCTGGATGCCGCTGGCACCGGGCGCTTGGGCGCAGAGGAGTTCACGGCCGGGCTCCGTAAGTGCAGCCTGGGCTGGTCCTGGCCACGGTCCCGGGGCTCTCCTGGGGGATGTGAGGCGCTGCCTTTGCTGTGTGGCACAGGAGGAATCGTCCCCATGACCAGCTCTCAGCCCCTGGCTCGCCTGGAGCGGGGTCCTGCTGTGCTGAACCGCTTTGCTGAAGCCGTGGAGGGAGAAGCGCTGGGCTTTGGGCTTTGCTGTCGCCCTGCCTGGGCACCGAGGGTTTGGGGTGTCTGTCAGCAGGGCAGTTCCTGAGCTCCCAAAAAGCTGCCAGGGAGCACCGGCGGAGGAAGACGGCGTCGCGGAGGGTGCGGCTGGTGCTCCCTGCCCCGGCGCTGGAAGTGGGGGACAGCGAGGAGCGCAGACACTTCGCTGCCTTTATGGAGCAGCTGGGCACAGACAACCTCTCTGAAGAGTAAGTGCCCTGCTGGGCACCCATGGGTGTCCTGCAGGATGGATAGAAGGGAAAGGCTTGGGGCAGGAGATCCCCACACAGGCAGGGAGCCTGGAGGTGCCTTTGGCCTGAGCACAGGAGCAGGGTCACAGTGACCCCAGAGCTCACCTGCCCTCACACACCTCAAAAATGTGAGTGAAGTGACTCAGCTGGCCTGGCTTTGGGGCTGCTGGGGGGATGCTCACCTCAAAAAACCCCTCTCCCTGCAGACAGGAGATCTGGCAGCTCTGGGTGAAGCTCCGGCAGGATGAGCCCCAGCTGCTGGACAACCTGGAGGACTTCCTGGCCAAGATGAGGCAGCGCATCCAAGAAGCCAGGAGCAAGAAGGAGGCTTTGGAGCAGACTCTGAACAAGTGAGCCACCCCAGGATAGTGCATAGGGAGGGGATAAGAGGGATGGGGACAGGGACGGAGCCCTGGAGGACCACCCCAGCCATGTGGAGAAACCTGTGTGCCTTCAGCACACCCACCAGCGGCCGGAGCAGAGGTTCTGCCAATTTTTGGGGTCGGCTCCCTCTACAGTCACAGAGGGGGCGGCAGAAGGGCCAGACTCGGGCTGCTGGACACATCCACACTGGGTGACCCTCCGTGGGTGACCCTCCGGGCAAAGCCAGCCACAGCCCGAGGCTCCCGAGGGCAGTGTGGGGTCCCAGGGCCCGCACCCCCTGCAGCAGGGTCTGACACCCCTCCTCGGCCCTGCCCTCACCACAGGCGTGTGGCTGAGCACGACAGGGACGTGCAGCAGCTCTGCGAGGTCCTGGAGCAGCAGATCCAGCAGGAGCGGCTGCGGCTGCAGCAGCAGGTGGGTCCTGGCTCCTCCTGTCCCCTGGCTGTCCCTGCCGGGGGGACGCAGCACCCCAAAACCCCTCGGCAGCTGCCGATGGATGAGGGGGTGCCGGTGTCCTTGTGCCACCGCAGAGCACGGCCCGGAGCCGCCAGCAGGACGAGGAGCTGCAGCGAGTGCTGGATGCCAGCGAGAGGGAGGTGCAGCGCTTGGTCACGGCGCAGATGGAGGTGGGCTGGCCCCAACCCCCCTCTGTGAGCCAGGGGTCTCTGGGCTGTGCTGTGACGACCCCACGGTGCTGCACAGCCCATCCCGGTGTGTCCCTGGCAGCCCTTGCTGCAGGCTGTCCCACAGGACACTCTACACCGCATTGCCACCCCCATCCTCACACTCCCCTCCATCCCCAGAGGACACAAGCTGAGTTTCCCCCGGGTATTGGGGGGTGTGTGGAATTCAGCCCCGGGTCTAAAGGAGGTGACTATGAATTATTTTGCGTGGGGATTTTTGGCTCTGAGTGTCCTGCTTGCCATCCCGCAGCTGGAGCGGCGCTGCCGCAGCCTCCACAGCTCCCAGCAAGCCACCAGCACGGAGAACCAGCAGCTGGAGCAGAGCAACCGGGCACTGCAGCAGCACCTGCAGCACCTGCACCAGCAGCTGCAGCACACCCAGGGCCACCTGAGGACAATGAGGGCTACCGTGGCTTGGGAGCACATGGGGGAGCCGGGGTGAGTAGCTGGGTGACCGTGTGTCACTCACGTGTCCCCACACACGTCATTTCCTCCTGGATGGGCAATGAGTTGGATGGGCCTCAACCACCACGGTGCTGCCCATGGTGCAGGTTACTCGTGGCTTGGTGTGCAAAGCATCAGAGGGAAAAGCAGGACTATCAGCACCATGCACTGGATGTGTCCCTGGAGGGCAGTGCCAGGGAGATGGGGGTGTCCTTCACCCAGGAGGGCTCAGCAGGACTGATCCAAGGATTGTGGGTTTTGCTGACCTGCCCTATCACTACCCTGACAGCTCTGGTGCTGGGTGGATGTGGTGGAGAGGATGGAGTTCTCATTTTGACCCTTGTGCTCTGTGTTTGCAGGGACAGAGTGGTGGCAGAGTTACCCATCGAGGTGCCAATGTCCCCACAGGTACTTCAGCTGGGTGTGCGGGGACAGGACAGGGGGCCCAGGGCCTTGTGCTGTTCCATTTGGGACTGCTGAGGAGCTCCAGAGCACAGGGAGCTCCTGCAGCACTGCCTCCCCAAAAATCTCTCAAAAGGGGCTGGCACAGATGTTTGGGAAGGGAGGGGGTTGCACCACCTTACTTCTGGTACCCCCAAGATTTTGGGTGGGCACAGCTGGATACTTGCTGGAGAACTCCACATCATTTCAGGTGGATATTCTCCCTCACCAAGCATTTCTCTCTCCTCTTCCCACCCCGTTTCCTGCAGCTGAGTCCTGGGAAGAGCGAGAAGTTCCGCTCCGAGATGCGGATCAGGCTGGGATCCCAGAGCAGCGAGAGCAAAGCCAAGAGCACCCACCAAGTGTAAGGGGTCCTGCTGCTCCTGTGTGTGCCCCTGGGCTCTGAGCTGGGGCTGAGCCCCAGGCCCTTCCTCCACCCTCCCAGGGAAAACAATGATATTTGTCCTTTTAGCACTCCTCTCCCACCCGCTAATCTCTCACCCTGGAGCTCACATCTCTTATCCCAGCTCATCACCCCCTTGGCTCAGGAACGGGCTGTAGGTGGCTGAGAGTTGTCTTTTCCTGTCTGACAATGTTAAGATGGGTACTGGGCAGAGGCCAGGATGCAGCCCCGGGTCTGGCTGCCTGCGTGTGCATCCCCTTTCCCTTGCCCCCATTGCTGCCTGTGTGAACTCCAAGTGCAGTGAGGGGAAATAAAATCGGGTTTGGAGAGGGATGAGGTGAGGCTGTAGATCAGAAACCCTCTGGGACTGACTGGGGATGGGAGGGAGCTGGAGCCTGACCTGGGAGCTGGTTCATTGCCCTCATTTTCTGCCCTTTCCAGGGTTTGGGAAATGCTGCCAGCAGAAATAAACCTTTCAGAAGCCCCACAGAAAGCAAGCTCTGCAGAAGAGGATCCCTCCCCAGAACCTTTGAAAGAGGAAGGTGTCCATTTCCAAAGCTCTTTGCTAAGAGAGATGAATGATGCAATAGCAGCTCTGAGCAAACATCTGAAGGCACAGGCACTGGGTGCACCCCTGGCAGACACTCCCTGTCACCCCTGGGACAATGCTGAGCCCCAAACAGGGCCAGAGGCAGCAACAGCCCATGAAACCACCCCTGGGGTCCTGCAGGAGACCCTCCCTGGCCACACCCATCATGAGCTGCTGGAAGGAGACCTGCAAGAGGAGCCAGCCTCAGCTGAGCTTCGTGCTGCGGATGTGACACAGGCTGGTGCGTCCGCGGGAGCTGGGCACTGCACGGCTCAGGAGCCAGGAGCAGAGCAGGGAGAGAGCCCAGAGGAGGCACAGAGGATGTTATTCCTGCAAGGAAAGGGTGCTGGTGTGGAGGAGATGGTGCTGAATGTGGCTGAGCATCTGGGAGAGAGCATGGAGACAGGAGAGCAGGTGCAGGTGGAGGTGGAAGGAGCAGAGCGGCGGCAGGAAACAAAACCACAGCTCCTGGGAGAAGCTGAGGAAGTGGAGATAAGCCTGAGGGAAAGTTTGGAGGCAGGTCTGGGGCCACCTGAGGCTGGGCAGGAAGGTGTAGCAGGGGGACAGAGCCTTGCCACGGATGAGCAGCAGTCAGGGAGGGTGCTGGGTGAACGTGGGCAGGCCCCGGGCACAGCGCTGCAGGAACGGGCTGAGCCAGCATTGGGGCTCCCTGGGAAACTGGAAACTGAGCTGGGAGAGCACTTGGAGCCACAGCCACCGTCCTGGGCTGAGGCACAAGTGGGAGCAGCCCGTGGGAGTGGTGGCCCCGAGGTGACAGTGGCTCCTGGCCCAGGAGGGCTGGAGGAGGAGCGTGCCAGGGCAGAGGGGCAGCCCCGGGGAGACACCACGGACTCCAAAGTGCTGCAGGTGATGCCAGCCCAAGCTGAGCAGGCAGGGAGCAGCAGAGCCAGGGGTGAGGAAGAGGAGGAGGAGGAAGCTGAGTCCAGGGAGGCAGAGCAGCAGCTGCAGGGTGAGTGTGCCAGGGGAGGTGTGGGGTGGAGAGGGAGTGAGGCCACTCTGGAGCCACTGGCAGCGGCTGTGCCACCCACCCACGGACAGGGAGGAGTGGGAACAGATGTGGAACTGATGGAGGCCCAGAGCAGCACCAACATGGAGCTGCTGGCAGAGGTGGAGGCAGAGCTGCAGGTCTGGAATGAGGCTGGATCCCCAGGCACACAGCAGGGAGGGGGCGTGGATCCAGGTGTGCAGCTGGAGAAGGATAAACCAGAGGCAGGGCTGGGAGAAGAAATGGGGGCTGCTGCAGTGCACTGTGAGGGTCCTTCCCCTGCAGAAGCACCTGTGGGCAGCCCAGCCTTGTGTGGGCTGTTCCCAGGTAAGTCTCAGGCACTGGAATTGGTGGAGGCAGATCTGCAGATCTCTGGGGGTCCCAGCCCAGAAAACCCCCAGGGAGGGAAGGGGGAAAGAGCTGTTCAGCTCCAAGAGAATGAGGAAGAGGATGGGGCAGGACAGGATGAGCACAGGCTGCCACACGAGCCTGTGCCTCATCCCAGTGCAGTGAACTTGGGTCAGAGGCAGGGGGCTGGTGCAGGGCTACAACTAAGGGAGAATGCTGAAAGCCTGGACACTACTGAGGAGCAGAGCACTGGTGCCAATGTGCAGCTGAGTGCAGAGGGGAATGAGCTCAAATCAATCCCAGGAGAAAGACCAGAGGCAGATCTGCAGCCCTTGGGTGAGGCTGGATCCTCAGGGACAGAGCAGGGAGGGAGATTGGATCCAGAGGTGCAGCCCCTGGATCAGGAGGATAAAGAAGAGTTTTTGGAAAGGAAGGCAGAGGATGTCCAGGAAGATAGGATGTTCACTGAGGGTCCCAGCCCAGGGGCTCCATGGGGAGGGGAGAGTGAAAGAGCTGTTCAGCTGGAAGAGGAGGAGGAGGAAAAGGAGGATGAGGCACAAGGACAGGGAGAGCATGAGCTGCCACACAAGCCTATGCTTGATCTGCACGGATCAGGGGTCAGGCAAGGTGAGGGAGCAGATGAGGACATGCAAGCACAGGAGGAGGCTGAAAGCCTGGACACTACTGAGGACCAGAGCACTGGAGCCAATGTACAGCTGATTGCAGAGGGGAATGAGCTCAAATCAATCTCAGAAGAAAGACCAGAGGCAGATCTGCAGCCCTTGGGTGAGGCTGGATCCTCAGGGACAGAGCAGGGAAGGAGATTGGATCCAGAGGTGCAACCCCTGGATCAGGGGGATAAAGCAGAGTTAGTGGAAGGGAAGGCAGAGGATGCCCAGGCAGATCGGCAGCTGTCAGAGGGTCTCAGCTCAGGAGGCCCACGGGGAGGAGAAATTAGAACAAATGTTCAGATTGAGGAGAAGGATGACGAGGCACAAGGACAGGGAGAGCATGAGCTGCCCCACGATCCTGTGTTTGATCTGCACAAATCAGGGGTCAGGCAAGGTGAGGGGGCAGATGAGGACATGCAAGCACAGGAGGAGGCTGAAAGCCTGGACACTACTGAGGAGCAGAGCACTGGAGCCAATGTGCAGCTGATTGCAGAGGGGAATGAGCTCAATTCAACCCCAGGAGAAAGACCAGAGGCTGATCTGCAGCCCTTAATCCAGACTGACTCCATGGGGATGGAGCAGGGAGGGAATGTGGCTCCAGATGTGCATCCCCTGGATCAGGGAGATGAAACAGAGTCAGTGAAAGTGGAGGCAGAGGGCTCCTGGGCAGACACTCAGCTGAGTGTGGCTGCCAGCCCAGAAAACCCCCAGGCAGGGGGGCACTGTGCACTTGTGCAGCCCAGGGATGGCTCTGGGGACTGGAGACAGGGACAGGGTGGGCGTGGGCAGATGAAGGAGCTGGTGCCTGACCTGTCTGCAGTGACCATCAGACAGAGAAGGGGGACAGATGCAGGTGTGCAGCCAGTGGAGGAGGCTGTGATCCTGGACACAGTGGAAGATCAGAGCACTGGTGCCAATGTGCAGCTGAGTGCAGAGGGGAATGAGCTCAGACTGACCCCAGGAGGGAGCACAGAGGCTGATCTGCAGCCCTTGGGTGAGGCTGGATCCTCAGGGACAGAGCAGGGAGGGAGATTGGATCCAGAGGTGCAGCCCCTGGATCAGGAGGATAAAACAGAGTTTTTGGAAAGGAAGGCAGAGGATGTCCAGGAAGATAGGATGTTCACTGAGGGTCCCAGCCCAGGGGCTCCATGGGGAGGGGAGAGTGAAAGAGCTGTTCAGCTGGAAGAGGAGGAGGAGGAAAAGGAGGATGAGGCACAAGGACAGGGAGAGCATGAGCTGCCACACAAGCCTATGCTTGATCTGCATGGATCAGGGGTCAGGCAAGGTGAGGGAGCAGATGAGGACATGCAAGCACAGGAGGAGGCTGAAAGCCTGGACACTACTGAGGAGCAGAGCACTGGAGCCAATGTACAGCTGATTGCAGAGGGGAATGAGCTCAAATCAACCCCAGAAGAAAGACCAGAGGCAGATCTGCAGCCCTTGGGTGAGGCTGGATCCTCAGGGACAGAGCAGGGAAGGAGATTGGATCCAGAGGTGCAACCCCTGGATCAGGGGGATAAAGCAGAGTTAGTGGAAGGGGAGGATGCCCAGGCAGATCTGCAGCTGTCAGAGGGTCTCAGCCCAGGAGGCCCATGGGGAGGGGAGTGGGGAACAGCCCTTCTCAATGAGGAGGATGAGGAGGGTGAGGCACAAGTGCAAGGTGAGAATGGGCTGCCTCAGGAGTCTGTGCTTTCTCCAGAAGGAGCACGAGGCCGACAGGGAGAGGAGGCTGGTGCAGGAATGGAGCCACAGGAGGCAGCTGAAAGCCTGCTCAGCCTGGAGGCCCAGAGCACTGATGCTGATGTGCAGCTGATCACAGATCAGCAGATGCCCAAATCAGGCTCAGGAGGGAGCACGGAGGCAGATCTGACACCTCTGGGTGTAGCTGGGTTGTGGAAAGGGGAGCAGGGCCTGACTCTAGGTTTGGAGGCAGTTCTGGGTCCATCTCCCACTGCAAACCCATGGGAAGGAGCTGCTGCTGCAGATGTGCCCCCTCCAACAGAGGCTGCTTCGTGTCCTGAGCCTGCCACTCCTGCAGAGGGCCCTGGTCTGGAAGCAAAACTGGGAGCATGCATTGGTCCTGAGGGGCAGATTCTGGAGGCACAGGAGTTACTGCAGGGAGAGAGAGCTCCTGCAGAGGGGCAGCCTCTGGATGGAGCTCACGGTCTGGAAGGGGCACAGGGAGATAGGCTGGAGGCAGAGGTGAGGAATGGAGTGAAAACTCAGGGTCTAGGACTAAACCAGGGCCAGGATGATGCTGCGTTGGCCTCCCTGGTCTCTGAGGTGCTGTCACAACTCAGCCTCCTAAAGCTGGAAACGATGATGCAGGAGAATGTTCTCATTCCAGATGTGTGGCGGCTTTGTGCTCCGGGACAGGCAGCCCAAAGGGAGCTTCAGGAGCAGGTTTCAGCACAGGGACATGAGGGGAGGCTTCACACAGTGGCCCAACAGCCAGAGGGGGAGACAACACCTGCGATGGAACCGGAGCACATGGCTGCTGGACCTGCTGAGCATCTGAAGCAGGAGGTGCCACCAGCATCAGCCCTGCACACAGCAATGCAACCAGGAGATGCTGGGAGTGATCAGCTGGGGGTGATCCTCAGAGAAAACTCACTGGGGCAAGGGCAGCTCTTGGGAGAACAGAGCAAAGACCTCAGTGTTGGTCAACGAGAGAAGATGCAAGAGTTTGGTCAGACAATGAGCCAGGAAGGTGAGCCCAGCTCAGGAGAGCCAGGGGCTGTGACTGCAGGTGGGGCAGGAGCTGCCCCAAGGGGCTGTCCTACAGCTGCCCTGGACCCAGACCACCTCTACAACGTGCTGTTCATTGGGGACTCCCACGTGGGCAAAACGTCGTTCCTGTACCGTCTGCACGCCGACACCTTCAACCCCCACCTCACGGCCACAGTGGGTAGGTCTCCTCCAGCCCCCCTCCAACACTCACTTGGGTCACGGCTGCAATTCCCCCTCCTCCACCCCACAAGCTGCTGGAGGTCCCCACATGCCTGTTCCAGCTCCTGCCAAGCGTGGTGTACAAGCAGTCCCCAGGGGCCACACAGAACCACCAAGTCCCCACGCCTGGGCGCTCATGGGCAGGAAATGCTGCTCCTCCTTGGCCTTCCTAGCAACAGTGGCCCAGTGCTTTCCTCTGCTTTGCCTTTTAGCTCCATTCTCCTTTCTTCACCAGCCTGGTTTTATTCATCATGAGATGAGAGACCTTCCCAAAATCCAGTGATTAAACATCTAAAAGCCAGAGGTTCACTTGGGACCAACCTCTGGAGCTGCAGCTTCAGACCACCCTGTGCCATGTTTCTTCTCCATCCAACTTCTGTCGCAGGGAAGAACTCTACAGCATCAAAATATCCTTTTTTTTGTGTCTTCCAGGACTGGATTACCAGATCAAAACCCTGGTTGTGGATAATGAGCGCTTTGCTCTCCGCCTGTGGGACTCAGCTGGTCAGGAAAGGTGAGGTGCTGTGCTGCTTAGGGACACAACCTGGGTTTTCCCCCTGTAGTTTAGGGGCAATTGATATCCTTTGCTTTGCTAAGCAAAGGTGAGATTGCTCAAGGAGGGACTCTGTACAATATGTGATCTGATAAAGCGTAATAAAGGAAGTAATTAAGATAAAACTGGCACTCAGGCTGTTCTATGGCCCCTGCCATCAGGACAAGAGCCAAATCTGGGGGTTGCCTGTTCTGTAGACCTGCATTCCCACCTTTTCCAGTAGGATTTCACACCACTCCTAAACCGAACCTCCTTAGACCATCCTGGTTGTTATAAGTGAGAATTTATTCAGCCAGATTAAAAAGAAAAAAATAATTTTATTAACGGTCAAATTCTATCTAGCCTGCCACAAGGAAAGAACAGAGCCGAGCCCAGGGTCGGCCCTGGGTGTGCCACAAGGAGTCAGCCTCAGCAGAGGTTTTCCCCCGTGCCCACACACCTCCATCCTGGCACAAGGGGTTTTTATAGGGAAAGTTCTGCCTGAGGCCAAGATTTCAACAATCAGTCTTTTCTTCTATTCAGAGTCCATACGTTAATAAGATTTTCTTTTTTGGTGATGAGGAGGAATAATTCAGTGCCCGGAGTAGGTGAATCCCTGATGAGATTTTACAGGAAGGCTGCACTCACATGGATCTGTCTGAGGATTTCCATGATTTCCATCTTGGGTCGTTTACCCAAGATGATCAACACCTGGAGTCCCGATGGTCAGCACCTGGAGTCCAGACATGGTCCACCTCCTGGCCGAGCCGCATCCTTTTCCTTGTAAATCAGTTTCCAATATACACCCAGTCTCGCCTGCAAAGTTGGGGTGGAACTAATACAACGGGCATAATCTAACAAGCATCCAATATTACACATTTCATACAAGGAATGGCGCGGATTATATTTACTGCACATAACACTGGTGATCCTCCAAAACGCCCGCAGGTACCGCAGCGTGACCAAGCAGTTCTTCCGCAGGGCGGACGGGGTGGTGCTGATGTACGACATCACCTCCGAGCTCTCCTTCTCCGACGTGCGCTTCTGGCTCAGCTGCATCCAGGTGAGGGCGGTCCCGAGCTCCTGGGACTCACAGCAGCGGCCAAGCCCTTTGGAAATACCCTTTGGGTATTCTGCATTGCGTTCATTATATACTTTTTTTTTTTTTTTTTTTTTTTTTTTTTTTTTTTTTTTTTTTTTTTTTTTTTTTTTTTTTTTTTTTTTTTTTCCCGTGGAGGATTTAAGTCAGATATAGAAGATTTTTACACGCTGGCAGTGTTTCCCAGGCTAATATGTTGATAGAACAAGTAGGGTAATAATCAACTCTTAAACAATTAAAAACTAGTGCAAAGGAATGAAAAATGTTGTTTTTACATCAAGAATAGTCCACTTTGAGTCCTAGAAAGTGGGAGGGTTTTCAAGGCATTTTTAAAACTTCTCTTCAGAGATTTCCGGTTGACACAAAGCCAGTGTTTAAAATTCTGAAACAAAATAGGATATTGACTCACTTGGTGCTTGTAAATCCCAGCCAGAACACCTTCAGACACTGCTGTAGTTGAGCATAAAGTGAATTCATTATAAGTGTAACTCATCCAGTGCTCTGTCATGTTAATAGACATAGGCAATGATTTAGGGGGAAAAAAAATCTTAAATGCTGTTGAAATGATTTAATAATTTAGAGTTTTGTTATTAGCCCAAATCCGTGGGTGCCAGTCATAGTGTTCCAGGATATGTGTAGACAGTGTGGCCAGCTGGGATTCAAGGAAGATTTTGAAGCTGTTCTGATCTTCCCTTCTTTCTTACTCAGGAAGGAGCAGAGGATGGAGTTGCTGTGCTGCTTCTTGGGAACAAAACCGACTGTGCTGCCCAGAGGCAGGTCCCTACAAAGGAGGGTGAATGCCTGGCCAAGGTAGGTGGTGAAGCACAGCCACCCAAGCGAGGCAGGGACAGCTAAAGATCAACACCACCAACCTGAAGAGCTGGAGAAAGGGAAAAGCCTTTAATTTACCCCTCCTGCATCACTGGTTGACAAAATGTTCTCTGAACCCATCTCTCACCCTTCCCTGCCTTGCTTTCCCTTTGCCACTTCAATTTTGCCTCAGCACCATCCTAGTAAATTGGTTTATGGAACTGGATTTGTAAATTAAAACATTTTCAGCTCTGCTTATCTTTGCTATGAAATGTTAAGTATCTTCCCAGCATTATAAAAATAATAAACCCACTGAGCACTAACCTGGTTTAAAGGTACTGAAATGATCAATGTTTGATTAATCTCTTCCCATATAGATGGCTAAAAAAAAATAGATGAGGAGAATGAGAAGAATCTCACTTTTACTGACTTAATGTTAAATCTTATGGGATTTGGGGCAGAATCCATAGACCAGTTTTGCTAATGGAGATGAGGGATAGATGCTTATTTTCCCAAACTGGTAAGGAGCAAAAGAGTTGGGAACAGCTACTTATGTCTCTGTCTGTATTTGCTCCCATAACCAGAAGGCATCAAAAATTCTTCTGTCTGCACAATCGTCCTTTTCCTTGTATTAAAAGCTGGTGTCATAGCAACCAGAAAATCTGGATTTCACCCTCATGTTCCAGTAAATAAGTTATTGAGTTATTTGTTTCCTTGATCCCCTCCTCTTTCCCCTTGACTCGGGCTGTCCCATGGCAATTTATTCCCACATTCAACTAGTCCAGTGCAAGAATGTTACATTTCTATTTGGGGTCTGTGTCTTCCAGGAGCACCAGCTCATGTTTTACGAGTGCAGCGCTGCCTCGGGCCACAACGTCTTCGAGTCCATGGCCAGCTTCACCAGGTGAGCCACGCTCTTGGATTTTTCCAGCTGTCCTCAATTAAATGGGCTCCCTCCTTGCTTCTTTTAACTCCAAATACTGGATGTCACCATCACCAGAGACTCCATGCCCAAATGTCAGGGAAGCACCTGCTGGGATGAATATTTAGCACTGCCCTAACTTGTCTGTTGAACAACCAGCATTGCAAGGAGGTGAATTAAACCCTTTTGGGGATGCTGCTGATTCCTCCTTGGCTTGACTGAACAAGTTCTGTCTGTGATTTGATTTATGTTGGAATTTTTAGCAGCATCCATAGCTCTTGGATCACATGGAACTGGAAGGATCCTGACTCCTTTCAGCTGTGCTGAGCCTCTTGTACCAAGGCTTGTCAAAACAAACAGCACAGCAATGCAAAATGGGGGAACTACCCAGCTAATTTGCTTCCTTTGCTTCCAGGTTGCTCAAAGTTCGTGAAGATGAATTGAAAAATAAGGCAGAAGAGGTACCAAAGGCACCCCAGAAGAAAAAGGGCTGCTGCTGGTGATGGACAGACACCCCACACACTGATCTGAAACTGCACCAACAGCCAGAAAAGCATAAAAATAATCCTTGGACAACTTCTCTTTTCCTGTGTATCTTCCTTGCCTGATCTTCCTTGGATGCTGAGAGCAAAAGCTGCTGTGGGGGACCCCCTGCCATTCCCCCAGAGCACACCAGCCCTCCAAAATACTTCTCAGGGAACTTTGCAACTTTCTTTTGGAGACCAAAAACAGGCCAAGAAAAGAGGCAGAAAGGGAACCCAGCTGAGTCTGAGATGCTGCAATGATACTGGAAGCAGCAGGGAGTAAACCCAAGCCTTGGGATAGAAGAAATGAAAACCTGAAGCCACCCAAGTATAAAACAAGGGGGTTTAGTGCTGTTGGTGGTCTGAGCTGTGGGGACTTCTGTGCTGTCTTTGCAATCTGATTGGATTTGATCAGGAGCAATGAGATATTCAACATAATCTAAATGCACTTAAATCTCTCCAGTGACACAAGGTAAAGCTAATTTTTCCCTTTCGTGGTTTATCCTGCCAGTGAGCAGTGATGGGGCTTTTCAGAAACTACTAAATATTTTGCTGAAAATAAATTCAAAAGCCTCAAGAGCACGTCCGGGATAAGAAGAAGATAAATGCTTGCAAGAGGTTTCTTTCATTGTGTTGTCCCCAGAGCAAAATTCTGGATTATTGAACCAAATTTCAGGCTGGGCAGAGAAGAATGAGCTGCTGCATCCTGCCCTTCTGCTCTTTTTGAAGTACTGAATTGGTTTTAAATCCAGCTTGAAGAACTTAAATAAGCACATCACAATTTCAAGGTTTTTTTTTTTTAATCTTTTTACAGCTTGATTGAACTATAGTTTTGCAGAAAAAAAAAAAAAAAGACATACAGACTAAATAAATAAGAATACAAGTGCTATATTTTAGTATTTTGTATGTTCCATGTAAATTCCCAGCAGTTCAACAGGTATATTTAAAGACTCTGCTTAAGTGCAGATTTTGCAGAAATAATTCTGCCTAGTTGGGTTTACTTTTTGTTGCCACTATTATTTATATGTACATAATGGCAAAGCATAATAGTAGCCATTTTGTGCTTTAGAAAAATAAAGTGACAACAGGAGTTGGGCTTCTAGCAACACTATATATTTTCATATATAATTATATGTATTTTATATATATCAGCTTCACCAGCCAGGGTCCAACTTTGCAGTGACTCTGGAATTTCTGAGTCTTTTAGGGATGATTTATTTTTCCTGCACACCCTGATTTATCACTCCAGTACCTCTGTACCCTAAGTGTCCATCCCCTGTATCTCCCCCCAGCCTACCTCAAGTCATTCTCCTTTGGCCCCATCATTAAAACATTTAATTTTCTTAATGCAATATATTTAATGCTCCCGTTCCCTTCTCCATCCCTCTTTACCGTATTTCTTTATACAATATTTTTAGTGATGGAGCAGTTCCTCAGGAAGGATTTATGTGGCTCAGCTCAGAGCTGTGCCTGAGGGCGTTTGGTATTTGGGATATCTGGAATTGCTTTTTCTTTTTGTTTGGGACCCTCTTCACTATATCTTCTTTTATTAAAAAAAAATATAAATCCAAATGTGCTTTGCAAATTTGATTCATAATAAGAGATTCACCATTTCAGCCAGATCAACCCAAAAACTTTCTACTGGGTCTGTAACACTTCCCCATGTAAAGCCACCCATCAGATCAGCTTTTCCTTTTGCCTAAATATGCTGGGATTGTATATGGAAGATGCTGCTTGGCCGAGTGGCAGCAGGATTGTGCAAGAAATGGTTTTATTTTATTCCAAATCAATTCCAAATTCTGTGCAGGCTGAATTTTCCCATTAGATGGCAGCAGCTGCAGCAATTCCTCCCCACTGCAATATTGCTGCTGCAGAGAAGTACCAGGGAGCTTGAACAGGGCCCAAAGTGGAAGCTGAAAAAAAAACAACCAAAAAGCCTTCCCAGAACAGCAGGCAGAAAGAAATGTCTATCTTATTCCCCTGGAAATCACCTCTAGAAAAAAAGATGGAGTTTGTGCCCAAAGCATGAGTTACTACACTCCAAACCTCCCCGTCAAACTTGGAAATGAATTTTTCATTGCCAGGCTGGGAGAAACGCCGGGCAGGCAATAAATCACATTGGAAAACATGGGCAGCATGTTGCACTTGAAAGCACCTTTAATAATTCACATTCCAGCAAACATTCCCACTCTGGGATCAAAGGCACCGCTCCTTTGCAAGCCATTAAACGCCTGCACAGTATTTGGAGGAGGATCAAGGCCTGGGATATTAATAGCAAGAGGGAAATGCATACTTGTTTGGACCACAGGATGTGTTTTTTTTAAATCAGGTGGTTTCTTTTAAAGCTGTTTGAAATTCCTCAAGGCGCTCCACAAGAATTAGAGGAGCTGCCTCAGCCAAGCCAAGATTGGGAAGATTTCGGATCTCAGCCCAAAGTCAGTGGGCATTTAGCATCATCCTGCTTGGATGAATCCACCCTGGAAGCTGAGAACCCACAAGAGCTTCTGACAAGTTGGAACAAATCTTCTACCACAGCTTTCAGCGCCCCAGCCATAGGATTTGGGTTTTGCTCAGGAGTGTCTCCCAGAATTCCACCCTATTCCCCTGGAAAGGCAGTAAAATTGGGATGAGGAGACAATCCCACTCCCTGGGCTGGGATTGACAGGGCAGGAAATCCAAACCTGAGTAGAGGAAGTCCTTTTTCTTGCAATGTTTAATTCATCTGCAGAACTCAGTGCTGCAGGAAGTTGTTGAGGCCGAGAACTTAAACAAGGCTGAAATTTAAACAAGGTTGCTCTAAAGGGACCTGGTCTAGTGGAACAGGGGGCGTGGAATGAGATGATCTCTAAGGTTCTCCCAATACAAACCATTCCAGGATTCTACAAAAATGCATCAGAGAGATACCAAAAACACCCATCACACCCACAATCAAGAGCTGACTGAAAATACGTTTAATTGCATTTAAGGACTGAAGCTCATGTCTGACAGCAGGGTGAGGCTGAGGCCCCTCACTCCTGCATTCTCCCAAGCTTTTCATGCCACGGGTGCCTCCATGGACCTTCTCTTGCCCCATCTCCAGCCCTTTATTCCTCTAAGCCCTTCCCACAATTTTTAGGGCTTTCCCACATATTTTTAGGGGGTGTTAACTGTGTGCTCAGTGCTTATAACTTGACCTGTGGGAATAAGCACTCAAGAACCCCTCATGGGGCTGGGGATAAGTGGGGTTCAGGGGGATAAGTGGGTCTTCCAGGGGGTGCTGGAGTGTCTGGGGGGAGCTGTGGGGTGATATTGAGGACTAATGGGGTGTTGGGGGGTTGAGGGAGGTGTTAGGGATGCTGTGGGATGTGGCTGTGAAAGACTTTGGGCGTTCTGGAGGGTGTTGGGTGTGCCGTGGGCTCAGGAAGATGCTGAGGGTTCATGTGGGTGCTGTGTAGGATGTCTCAAGGTGTTGGTGAGGACCTGGGGGCTCGGAGGTTTCTTGGGGGGTCTGTGAGTGATGGGGGATCAGGCAGGTGCTGGAGTGTGGTCTCAAGGTGTTTCTGGGCTCAGGTAGGTACTGGTGGGGTGCCTGTGTGTAATGACAGGGTCAGGCAGTTGTTGGGGTGGTCTCAAGGTATTAAATGGGTTCAGATGGGTGCTAGGAAGGGTTTTAGGGGTCCTGAGGAGCTCTGATGATCCAGGGGAGGCTCAGGCCAGTCTAGGTTTGGGATAATCATGGACTGAGATGGGTGCTGGAAAAGGGGGTCTCCATATTTTGGGCTGAAATGTATGCAGGGAGTCTCAGGGGGACATTGGGGATGCCAGCAGGGAGGGATGCGGGTGCTGGGGGCTGTTGGGAGGAACTGGGGTGGTTGGGGGTCCTGAGGGGTGTTTGGGACACTGCAAGGCCTTGGGGCCAGTGCCCTGAAGGGTGTTTGGGACAGCAGAGGGGCAGGTGCTGGTGAGGTCCTGGGGAATGCTGAGGCTTTGGGCCAAGCAGGGTGTTGGGAGTCCTGGGCAGTGTTGGGGGTCCCAGACTGGGCCAGCCCAGGTGTTGAGGGCCCCGGGTGGTGTGGGGGGTCCAGGGCAGGGCTGGGTTCCCCGGGCAGTGTTGGGAGTGGCGGGGAGTGTTGGTATTCCCCGGGCGGTATTTCCTGGGCGATGTAGCAGTCCCGGGGCAGTGTTGGGTCCCCGGACAGCGTTTATTCCCCAGAGCACTGTTGGGTCCCCGGGTTGTGTGGGGATTCCCCGGGCAGTGTTGGTTCCCCGGGCAATGTGGCAGTCCCGGGGCAGTGTTGGGTGTCCGGGGTGGTGTTGGTTCCCTGTGCAATGTGGAGGTCCTCGAGCAGTGTTGGTTCTCCGGGCAATGTGGAGGTCCTCGGGGTGGTGTTGGTACCCCGGGGCAGTGTTGGGTCTCTGGACGGTGCTGGTTCTATTGGAAGTGTTGGTTCTCCGGGCAATGTGGCGGTCTCAGGGCAGTGTTGGGTCCTCGGGCAGCACTGGTTCCCCAGGCAATGTGACTGTCCCCAAGCAGCATTGGTTCCCTGAGCAGTGTTTGTTCCCCGGAGCAGTGTTGGGTCCCGGGGTAGTGTAGGGCTTCCCCGGGCAGTGTTGCTTCTCTGGGCAGGGTTGATACCCTGTGCAATGTGGCAGTCCTGAGCAGTGTTTATTCCCTGGAGCAGTTGCTGGGTGCCCGGGCAGCGTGGAGGTTCCCTGGGCAGTGTTGGGTCCCCGGACAGCGTTTATTCCCCTGAGCAGTGTTGGGTCTCCGGGCAGTGTTTATTCCCCGAGCAGTGTTTGCTCCCTGGGCAGTGTTGATTCCCTGGCAATGTGGCGGTCCCGGAGCAGTGTTGGTTCCCTAGGCAATTTGGAGGTTCCCGGGCAATGTGGAGGTCCCCGAGAAGTGTTGGTTCCCCCGGGTGGTGTTGGTTCCCTGTGCAGTGTGACAGTCCCGGGGCCGTGTTGGTTCCCCCGGGTGGTGTTGGTTCCCCGGGCAGTGTGACAGTCCCGGGGCAGTGTCTATTGCCCGGAGCAGTGCTGGGTGCCCGTGGAGACTCCCTGGGCCGTGTCTGTTCCCTGGGCACTGTTGGTTCCCTGGGCAATGTGGCGGTCCCCAGGACGTGCTGTCCCCCCGGGCAGTGTGCGGGCCCCGCGCCGATCCGAGCCGGGCCGGGCCGGGCCGGAAGCGGGGCCGCGCCCGCCCCGCCGCGGGAGGAGCCGGGGCCGGGCCGGGGCGGAGCGGGAGGAGCCGGGGCCGGGCCGGGCGGAGCGGGCAGGCGGGGCCGGGCCGGGCGGAGCGGGCAGGAGGAGCCGGGCCCGGGCGGAGCGGGCAGGCGGGGCCGGGCCGGGCGGAGCGGGAGGAGCCGGGGCCGGGCCGGGCGGAGCGGGCAGGCGGGGCCGGGCCGGGCGGAGCGGGCAGGCGGGGCCGGGCCGGGCGGAGCGGGAGGAGCCGGGCCCGGGCGGAGCGGGAGGAGCCGGGGCCGCGCCCGCCCCGCCGCGGGAGGAGCCGGGGCCGGGCCGGGCCGAGCGGGAGGAGCCGGGGCCGGGCGGAGCGGGAGGAGCCGGGGCCGGGCCCGGGCGGAGCGGGCAGGCGGGGCCGGGCCAGGCCGGAGCGGGCAGGCGGGGCCGGGCCCGGCGGAGCGGGAGGAGCCGCCGGGCGGGACGCGAGCGGGGTGAGGCCGCGGGCGCGGGCGGGGGTCGCGGGGGGGTGCCCGGGTTGCGGCCTCGGCCTGGGGGGCTCCCCGACTTGTGGAGGCTGGAGCCGGGGGTGGGGGTGTCCTGCTGAGTTTATTGATTTATTGTTGAGAACACCCCTGGCTGGGCTCCTCTGCCTCAGAGGAGCGCGGGCGAGGCCGTGGGGCTGTGGCCGGGTGAGGGTCCTTCCAGCAGGAGGCTGGGACCTGATCCCCTGGCAGGGCGAGACAGGCGGCATCAAGCAGATGGGAAGATATTTTTATATCTATATCTCTATATATGTACATCATTGTAGGTTCACCCACAAGGTGAACGAGCTTTACCTTTTTAAGATTCCCCCAGCACCGTTTCTGTCTAAATATTTACCTTCTAAAGCCTTGGACTAACCACCCTGGGGTCTGTGGGCAGAGCTGGACGCTGGGGTGCAAACCCTGCAAGCCAAGTGCCATCACTGTTTCTGTTCTGTTTCTGTTCTGTCATTGTGGAGAGAGCTGCAGATTCCTCCCAGGGTGGTGGAGTTCATAAAAAAACAGAATAACATATGGGTTCCTCCTTCAAAGGCCTCTCTCTAAAGGGTTTGCAAGGGATGAGCCCTGCTCAGTGTGTGTACTGGCAAAGAGGGTACAGTAGCCTGTTGTTATTATTTTGTCGTTTCTATTGTAGGGATAGGAAGGGAAATAATGAATTCTTATTTGTTTTTTAAGGCTTCAGTCTGTTCTCCCAACAATGTGGGAGCATAATGCCTTATATCCTAGCTTGAGGATTGAGTAACTCTTGAATTTGTCAAGGAGCTGGATTGAGTTTTTAATGTCTGTGATTTACAGGGGTTGTCTACAAAGGTGTTTGTTCAAGAGTGGAATGTAAATGGAGAGGGGTGGGAACTGGGATATAGCTCAGTGTTGTATTTTAGCAGGATTTTTCTGTTGTCTGGAAAAGGGGAAACCACAGTGTTTGACAGCATTTCTGTGGGGATGTTTGTTATAAGTGGTTCCAGGCAGATCCTGAAAGCTTGTTGAATCTGCTGGAATTCTGCACGGGACAGCTTCAGGAGGGAAAGCTTTGGCACTTGGGAGCCACAGGACACTAGATAATATTTTAGACCACTTGCACACCACTTACAGTGTCCAGGCAACTGGAGTAACCAGAAAAGCTGGAGCGGGGGGGGAAAAAGGCCTTTAATATCCTGCAGATGTGCTGGCTTCTGCTTGTTCCATGAATCAGGGTATTGCATGAATGAAAGAGTTAGTAAAGCAATTGCTTGTTTTTATTGTCACGTGTGTGGCAGGTGCTTTACAGATGAGGAAAAAGAGCCCTTGTCTTGGAGAGGTTAATATGAGATATTATTGACCCAACCTGCTTTGCTTGCCCATGGGGCTGCTCAGGTGGCAAGATCTGGGACAAATATTTGCATGGAATGCAGGGAATGTCGGTAGAAGAGGAGCTAATTAACCTAGCAATGCAGTGCAGTATGTTCTCTTGGGTTTTAATTTGGGCTTGGGTTTTAATTTGGCATTTTTACCTTTTTGGTGGTTCTGTGGCTGTGGCTAGAAATTTGACACTGATGTCAATGTAACATCTGACATTAACTGCTGGAGTTGAATGCTTAGGCAGCTGCTGACCAAACAAATTTGGGTTATTTTTCAGCCAGATAATTTTCCTGATCTGATGCTCCACATGACCACATAAACAAGTGTGCAAGGGCAGAACAGGGGGGATCTTGTGGGGAGAGGAGCAATCGCTGGAGCTGTGAAACCTGGGGGTTTCTGAAAATACATCCCAGTGTTGCATTAAAAAGAAGATATTAACATCACCCTGGCTGTCAGCCAGTTCTTTAAAGGCAAATCAGAGTTCAAATCTGAACTTTATCATGTCTCTAGTTCTATCCATACATAAAGTTATGGCTGATTTGTGCTGTGGGAGCAGCCAGAACAAATTGCAGCTGAGCAAATCTAAGTTGAGGTGGCTTGTTACTCAGGGCCGGTCAGTGTGTGCTCAGGTGAGCAGAGCAGGGCTGTGCTGGCAGCTGTGTGCAGAGCCCTGTGAACAGTTCTCACAGTGCAGGGACAGAATCTGGTAGCAGAATTGAGCAAAGTGGTGAATTGGGTGAAGTAGATTCATGAGCTGGTTCCTGGGGCCAGGAAACTGAAGAGCAAAATGGGGACAGGGGCATGATTTCAGTTTTCAGCTGTGATTATCCGTCGTGCTTATTGTGTTTTTATGTGGTGATCCTCAGGCTGTGCTCTCAGGGCAGAGCATTGCTCAACTCTCTCCCTGCTGGCCCAGTTTGATCAGGTTAGTGTTACCCACATCAGAAACAAGAGGCAAAGCAAAACTCTGCAGATTCTGCCTTTCCCCCAGGCAGTGCCAGTGTTTTTCCCAGGCAATGGGAAAAATGTTTGCAGTGTGATTCTCACATTGGCAGCTTGTTCCTTGTCCAGCAGTTTCTTTACATCTTTTCTTGAGCCAATCAGCTGCTCTCAAAGAGGCCTTTATGGCAGAATGCAAGTGGTAGAGGAATATACTTTTTTTTTTGGTAACTTAATGTCGATCTCTCATGGGTGTGTTCCTATAAGTGAGAAATATTTTGCTGTCAAATGCCATTTTGTCACCCAGCACAATGGAGTTCTTGCTGGGATATTTAGTTCTGTGGCATCTCTGACCTGCAGGCAAGCTTGGAGAGGAAGGTAGGGGCTTTGTTGCCTGCAGGGCAGCTGCTCTCACGTTGCTGTTACTCAATAATCAGTTGGCTTTGACATTAGGTTGCGAAAATTTAAACAAATTGTGAACTGCCGAACTTTGCCCGACACATTGTGTTTGTTTCTCTGTCCTGTCCCATTGCTAACGGGAGATTTAATGAAAACAAATCTGGGTTAAAATAAGCGACTGAAATTGTAGCTCGGGAGGGCTTAGCAGGGCTGCTGCGTGTGATGATCAGCTTTGTATTGTTGGCTTTTGTACTTGGTGAGCAATTGCTTTATGGGATGGATTCATTTGGAGGAGATGAATAAATGAAGTTTCATGGATTTCTGGGAAGCTTTGTTCATTTACATAAGCTGCGAATCTCGGCCGGTTCTGCTCTTGTCAGGAAATTTCACGGCTTCTTTGAGTCGGTGGGAGATCCTGAAGCAGCAGAGATGATTAGGAGAGCAGCTCAGTGTTGTGCTGTCGGCTGGGAGCAGGTTTGCTCCAGAGGAGCCTTCCCTCTTTCCTGGACACATTCCTGGGATGGAAGTGCACACGCTGCTGTTGGGCTGTGTGGCTGCAGTTGATTCCTGTTAACACACCAACTCTCTCCTCAGGGGTTTCTCCTCAGAGGCCATGGAGCTTTCAGCCAACGAGCTCAGCATCTATGACAAGCTCTCCGAGACCATTGATCTGGTGAGGCAGACTGGCCACCAGTGTGGCATGTCAGAAAAAGCCATTGAGAAGTTCATCAAGCAACTCTTGGAGAGAAACGAGCCCCAGAGGGGCCCTCCACGGTACCCTGTCTTAGTGGCTCTCTACAAGGTAAGACGACTTTTGTGCATGAACACAGCATTTGAGGGTCAGAGCTCTCCTTTGCACCTGAGTTTTTTGTTTCCCATTGCATTTTCTTGATGAATTTTCCAAGATCTTTATTTAAAAGACTGTGAAATGTAGCTTTCTTCCTTCATGTCATGAGCTGCTTTGAGAGCAGGAGACAGCTGCCCAGGATTTGGAATTGCTTATCTGTGCTGTAAATTTACATTGTCCACGTCTTCCTCTCCCATAAATTATTAAATAATGAGATTTGGATTGATTTTCTGACTAAGATTCCTAGTGTTGGCATCCTGAATGGAAATGTGAGGAAGGTAAGAGATTCTTGAAGTTCAGAGTTGAGTAATGAAGTGAACATGTCTCTGTCTCTGACCCTGCCACAAACTTCTACATGTCTTTATTCTCCTTCTGGTCTATGAAATAAAGCTATTATCATCATGCTTGATGGTAGAAAAATGCTTTAAAAGCCTTAACTGAAAGATTCTGTAAAAACTTTTGCAAAGTGGGTGAAAGGATGCTATTGTTAGGTAGGTTTAAGACCATTCAATCCCAGACTGGTTTGAGTTGGAAGAGATCTTAAAAATAATGTAGTTCCAAGTCCCTTCCATGGGCAGGACCCCTTCCACTAGACCAGATGTTTTCTTCAAGTCTGAAAAGCTTCCCACTGACATAATATTCAGTAATACTTTAGTGTCATCTCTACAAATCCATTGCAATGGATTTTATTTGGAAAAAAATTCAAGCTCTCTTCCTCATGTCCTATAAAAAGCTGTAAAATGAGGCAGGAGAACAGGAAACTGCAAATTTGAACTTTCAGCTTCTGTTCTCATTTTTGCTGTTGATTCAGTTTGACTTTGGCCAGCGGGAGAAATGCGTCATGTCATCTCTTTAAGGCTTATTTGGGATTCTGGTATGGAGGAGGGAGCTGGTGCCAACTCTGCCAAAGTGTTTTGAGGCTTGACGGATGTTTGCAAAAGCCACGGGGTTTTCCTTGTGTAAGAGGCATGGCAGGAGTGCAAGCTTTTATTTGATTAGGTAGGGAGGAAAAGGAACTATCTGTAGATAATCCTGATTGATCTCATGCTGGATTATTTGCAGTGCTAAAATACAGGAACAAAGCTGTTGTGTGGCTTGGGTTTGATGGCTGCTTAATTTCATCCGTGGACAGCCCTAATAATAAAACTGGCTGACAACTCTGTGTACATAAATAGCATTGCAGCTGAACAAGGAGACACAGCAAAAAATAAGAGTGTTTGCGTTGTGGCGCACAACCACAGCCCTTTGATACCAGCAGAAGGTGTGTCCTGGTGTGAGGACACCGCAGCTCCCTGCAGTGTCATTAACCCTGTGCCTGTTTTCCCTTGCAGGGACTGCTCACCCTGGGCTTGGTGTTGCTGACTGTTTACTTAGTGATCCAGCCCTACAACCCGCTGCCACCCGAGGCGCCGCTCTCCAGAGCCCAGGCCTGGGGCTCCCTCGTTGGGCACATCCGGCTGCTGTCCCTGCCCATTGCCAAGAAGTACATGTTGGAGAGTAAGGAAATGTTTTCCCTGCTGTAACATAAGCCTAGCAAGAAATACCAGCTTAAATACCAGCCACGAGAGTCACTCGAACATCTCCAGGGCACCACAAATGTGTTGCTGGCTTGGCATCATGGTTTTCTCTTTTCCTACCACTGTACTTAAAAATAGCATCCTGAGTTCTAGCTTCACTGGGACTGAAGTATATTTTATCTCTAACTTGATAATTTTGTTCTTGCACATTTTCTTTTCCTCGCTTTTAACACCTTGGGTCTTTCTTCCACAAGAGTTTCCTCTTCTCTAGAAATCTTTGCACTTCTGAGAACCAGAACTGAGATAGCTTTGCTAGGGAAATGTCACCTTTTCTTGTTTTTTCTGAGTAAGGTAAAACCAGTTTCTCAACCAAATCTTGATATCTGTAAGCAAAGTGTAAAAACCTCAACTTTTGGCCTCGTTTCAGGAAAAGGAGTTTTTGCCAAGTGGCATATTGGGAAAGGCCTGGGGGATTGAATGCTGTCATGTTTGCGTGACATTAAGGGCAGTGTGTGTGTATGAGGAAGTCAGATAAGGGTTCCCTGTGAGGTGATCCCATCACAGGAGAGCAACATCCTAGATTTTCCTAGAATGGCATTATAGAAATGGAAAAGTTTGGCTATTTCTCATTCTTGGTTAATCATTTCACTGACTTAGTCTGGCAGGTGGGTGCAAGCCTGGGCTTTGCCTCTGCTGGAACACAAAGACTGTCAGAGATGATAAAGCTAAGAATTATTTTGAGCAGGGATGTGGCACAATGTTGGTGGTCTGGTGGCTCACTGTAAAAACAAACTCCTGTAGCCGTGCCCTTGTCAGGTTTATATTTAGATTGGACACCTCATTGTGTTGGAGTTGTCTGTGTTGGCTCTGACCTTCCTGCCAGAGCTAAAAAGGGCTCCCTGAAATGCCAGCACCATTCTGCATTTTCTCCCTCCCTCTTTTCCGATGACGATAATGCTAACATGGGATTTCTGTTGATTCCAATCTGTATGGGTGGGACAGGGTATCCCTCATTGTTCTTATTCCTTATAGATGGGGATATCTCTGGGAGTGAAAAACAAAGATGAGAAGATGGCTCTGATAAGCATTTGACATTAAGGGCCTGCTTATCTACTGCATTCCAGCTTTTCCATGGTTGAACACTCCCCTGCTCCTGTATTGAGGTGGAATCCAATGGGAATTTTAATGCTGGTTTCACTTTTCACAAGGGCCGGGAGTGACAGGACAAGGGGAATGGCCTAAATTTGAAGGCAGGTTGGATATTAGGAAGAAATTCTTCCCTGTGAGGGTGGGGAAGCCCTGACACAGGTTGCTCAGAGAAGCTGTGACTGCCGCATCTCTGGAAGCTTTCAAGGCCAGGTTGGACAGGGCTTGGAGCAACCTGGGATAGTGGAAGGTGTCTCTACCCATGGCACAGGGTGAAGCAAGGTGAATTTTAAGGTCCCTTCCAACTCAAACCATTCTGTGGTTCTATTGCATTTGTTCAGTCAGATTTTATTCAGAAAGTTGTTGGGTTCTTCCTTCAGCTACCACTGATCCCTTTGGATGAGAAGAGCCCAAGGAGGTTTCTTGGCACACCTAAAGGTTTGTAGGAAAAGGGCTGCCTGAAACCATGAGGATCTCCTTGTAAAGATAAGTAAGAGCAGGAGTAGTTCTGGCCTACCTTTGGAAAAAAACAGCTGAATGATGAGGAGATGGGGAAACATCCATAGGAACAGGGGAAAAGAGAAGGATGCATGGAGAGGAAGGATGCAGTGTTGTTATTTAAATGCATATAAAATCCCTCAGGCCTCTGTGAATCCTGTAAGTCTTCAGAAGCTGAGCAATAGGGTAGGCAGCAATACAGTTCTGGGAAAAAGAGGAGAGGGGAGAGGCAGTTCCTGCTCTCTTTTCCACAGAATTAGATTGTGGTGGAAGCCACAGCATGTCCCAATTAACAGATTCACTGGGGTTAGCTGGAGTGACTTTGATCCTGCCTTGGCAAAAGGAACTAGACAAGACCCTGGCTATTTAAATGGGAGAGTGCAGCGCCCAGCCTGAACCTTGGCTGGGTTCCTGTGGGAATCCCTCATGTCCTGGCTTCCCAGCAGGCAGCTGCAGTCACTGACACTGTCCCAGTGACACTGGTGTCACCATCACAGCTTGCTGCCCAGAGGACACTGGTGAAACCATCCAGCAGGGATCTGGAAGAGGGAGTTCGATGGCTTGGGGCTGAGTGCTCTCCCAAGCCCTTTCAGCCCTGATTTGTGTGTGTTGTATTATTTTTCCCCTAATTTAGGCCTTGTGGTCTGCTGAAGGGAAGGGCTAAAGCTGCACTTTGTGTCTTATTTGTTGATGAGAGTTTAAGTCCAGGAGGTCTTGCAGGCGGGTCTGGTGTTGTCTGATCATAGAATGCCAGAATAGTTTGGGTTGGAAAGATCACCCAGTCCAACCCCACTGCCCAGGCAGGGTGACCTGGAATGGGTGGGTTTGGAATGGGGACAGAGTGGGGGGCATGACCTCCCTGACAGCTGTTCCAGTGCTCTGCCACCCTGCATGGAAAGAAGTTCTTCCCCAGGTTGAGGTTGGAACTTCTTGTGTTTTAGTTTGTGGCCATTGCTACTTGTCCTCTTGCTGGGCACCATGGAAAAGTCTGGCACATCCTCTTGGCATCCCTTGGAAATATTTATATGCCTTAATGAGGTCCCCTCTGTCTCTGGAAGGGAGATGTTTGCACTGTGCCTGAGCAGCAGAGAAAACCACTAATGCAGGGACTCAACGTACAGACTCCTCTTCCTTTCCCTACGTAGGTTCTGGGAAGAAAATTTTGAGGGGGCTGAGGATGGAGCTTGGAACTTTTGGTGCTCGGGCACCAGTTCAAAGCCAGTTTGGGCTGGTCCTGTTGAAAGCCACCTGTTGCCAGCTGGAGGCTGCCGTGGCTCACCCACCGGCAGTGCTGGCACACGTTACGTGGTGTGGACACGGCTGGTCTGGCTCCTTCCTCTGTGCCTGGGCAGGCAGGGGCAGCCTGGGCTGTGCTGTCCCTCCTGAGCTTTGGGGCAGCTTTCCTGTGTCCGGCCTTGAGGTTGGAGGGAGGTGTGGGCTGAGCAGCCAGGTTTGTGTTGCAGAACAAGGGCAGCTCAGTTGCTGGGCTTCCCCCGAGAGCCAAGAGCTCCGGTCAGAATGGTGGTGAGGCTTTGGGAGGTGCAGAGGTGCAGGATGTGCTCCCCCCTCCCTCCTGCTCGTGGTGAACTGCCCTCAATCCTTGTCCCTTCCACCCAAGAGCTGTGCTGTGGGTGACAAGGGCTGCCTGTCAGTGGCTGTGGGTGGACCTTTGAGCAGCTGAGGTGAGGAGCAGCATCCACAAAACTCTCTTGCATTGTTTATAGGATCGAGTCCAAAGTAAATTTCCTTTTTGCCTGTCTCTGTGCTCTCTTTCTTGCTGACTTTTTCCTCCAGATCAATTCCCATATTAAACCTTATGTTCCCACCCTTTGTTCCTTGATAGCTGACTCTTAGACCCTTGGGTCTGTGCCTCTCTTCCAGCTGTTTTCCCAGGGCAAGGTCCCTGTGGTTGGAGAAAAGGTCTGTGGAAATGCGGTTTGCATTTACTCTTCCTGAGCTGGTGTTTATGCAGAGCTTGTGAAAGCCCTGGTGCTGGGTCATGTTGGCTGCTCTGGGCCTGCAGCTCTTGGCACATCAGCTGTTGTTCATTTATAGCCCCAGAGAGGCAGTGGGCTGTCAGACCTCTGGGTCTGCCTGCTGTAAGGAGCACAGTGTATTTTGATGGGCACATGGGTTAACTCATGGCTATCTAATGCTATTCCAGGGAAATGTAGGACCTGTGCATTCTGGATTAATTTATCACATAGACTGGGAGGGACAATTCCCTCTGTTTTCAGTTCTCTGGTGCAAAATAGGGATACAAGTGCTCCTCTCTCCCCTGCAAGCATTAGGAAGTATTAGGAATACATAAACTCTCAAAGTCTGCAGTAAAGCCAGATGAAAAGGGGTTTTCTATTCAACAGAAATTTTAAAACTACACTGGTGGTCACTCTACTTGATATTTCTTTCCTTCACAACTGTGCCATCCCTACAGCTTTGTTAATATCTAAATATGATTTTTGATGTCAGCTGGTTGGTAAGTGTTCTCTGCCAGCCATGCAATGATGTGATGAGGAGAGCATTAAGCTGCTCTCACATTAACTCATGTGTCTGCCCATGCTAAGTTCAGTCCTTGCAGCTCAAAAACTTCAGCAGAGCAGGTCTCTCAGTAGGGAACAGGAACGTGACAATTTGCACGTTGTACTGGTAGCAGAGGTTGTAATGACCTCAAGGAAAATTCAGCTTTGCTTTTAATAATGACACTTGGACCTGGGTACACTCATCCTGCACAGCCCAGAGTCAGCTGGGTCAGTAACTGCTCAGCACACCTAAAATCAGACAAAAGCACACATGGATCTCAGTGCTGGAAAAGAGATCCTGTGCAAGTTATCCCCAGCTTGGAGAAGAAGTGTTAAATACCCCTTTCAGCCTAGACCAGTAGGGCTAAACTCATGTTTATGGGTTTGTGTGTAATTATTGTAGAGAAAGGAGCCCAGCTGGAGGAGCAGTGTTTAGCAACACCTTGTAAATGGCCTGTCACTGTGTTACTAAAGCCTGCTGGGTGCCAGAGCTATTTGTGGGGATGGGTCACAGCAGGCTGGGTTACTGGGGGAGGGCAGCAGCTGGTTACTGGGAGAGGGCAGCAGCCTCTGCCTCTTGGTTGGCCCACCTTGGGTTTAGCTGGAGACTTGCCTTGGCACTTGGCCAGCCCCTGTCTCTTCCCTGATCTTAACCCTTTGCAGGCAAAACACTTTTCCCTATGCTTCTCTCACTCCAGCCTTGAAGTGTTTTTATCCTTGGCACAGCTTTGTGCAGAAGGGGAGTATCCAGCATGCCTGCCTTGCATGGAGACTTGCTGCTTCTTGAGAGCAGCGTGGGCACCCAGGTGTTCATCCA